CTATTTTAAGATGTCGTTAAAAACTTATAATACAAAAAAAGGTTATGATTCAAAAATTTTTTTTGAAAAATTTATAAAAATTATTTAAAAATAAAACATAAAAAAGTTGCCAATTACATTTGGATTAAGCCTAAATTTCGAATTCTGGAAGAAGGAATCAAGTAAGTTAAGTCAAAAATGAGATATTAATAAATATATATCAAATTCAATTAACATTGAGGAGCTAAAATTTTGAGAGCTCATTCTTTTAAAAACCACTTGTGCAATTTTTAAAAACTTGGCAGTTTGGCATAATTTGAGTCGTAGAATTGAAATATGGAAAAAAAATTGGCATGTTATTTCAGAAAAAGTCTGGTTTTGTATCAAAATACCTATATTAGAACAATGCTGTATATAAATCTAATATACAGTCAAAAGTCGTTAATCCGGACTCGTCGGGACTTCGTCGATTCCGGATTATAGATCATCAGTTTAAATCTCGTAAGATGGCATGCAGAAATTCTAAAATTAAAAATATGAAACCTTAATTTATGAAATAAAGAACAGTTATAATCTAAAGGGTATCAAAATTTACAAAAAAAAGCTTAATTTTTAAATATTTATTTGTTTACTTTATTAAACATTTCTTTCAATGTAAGTTATTTTAAGTTGCTTCGTTTTATGTGATAATACTTTCTCTTTAATTCTATAAACAGACACAATTTCTTGTTCAGTTACAAAGTTCTGTTGTTCAAGTCCCGTTAATTGTTGTGCCGAGAATACCGACTAACTTGTCAATCGAAATTTTTTCGTTTTCACTAACCTCTCTGTCACATTCTTCATGTCTTTATCCATTTTTTGCAGCAATTCTACTTTTTGTTTGATAGACATCGAAACATACTTTCGTTTTGTACGATCCTTTGGAAGCTCCAGAATCGGGAAATTCTATTTGACATAATCGAAAGTTCAAGTTTACTTTTATAAAATTGCTCTAACAGTCTGCAAAAAATAATAAGCCAGATCCAATTCGAAGATTAAGGAACAACGCAATCATCAACATTAACTGAAATAGATAATTAGATAATTTTAGATTATACCGTCCGCTATACATAAAAAGCGCACGCGAAAACATATTCTGCGCTTGCGCACACGCATATGCGCAGTGGTAAAATGTCTTGCGCGCACGCATAAACGCCTATGTGCATGTGTCGATGTGGCGCATGCGCAGAAAGTTTTTAGCTTTGAGGTCCGGATTATAGATCATTACGGATTATGGGTGTCCGAATTAACGACTTTTGACTGTATTTCCTAAGTCACACTTTTGAGACATGAAAAACACAGTTTGAATTTCGTCAATCGGCCCAGTAGAATGGGAGATATAGAAACTGCTCCCCTATTTGTGTGCAGTGGTGTACATTACATGTGTGCGTAAATTCTAAATAAAAGTAATTAAAAGTAAATTAAAAAGCCTATGACTAGTGCTAAAGCTGCAAAAGTGATAAACCAATAATTCATAGCAATTTATAATACGAAAATTTTCCATATACCAACTCCAAGGAACAGAAATTCAATTAAAAACCATGAATGAAAAAATGTTTTAATCAGTATTTTAATTGATATTTTAAACCAGTATTTTCTAGACCACTTTTGTTTTAAAAACATAAAAACCTGTTAAGAAAAATCTTTAATCGCAAAAATACTAAAATCAAAAGTAAACATTTTAAGCACTGAAAAAGTAGCTATTGTCATTGATCACAGATTAATCAACTTATCAAGCGGATAAACCAATCTACCATCAATTAACAACAACTGTGCTCTTAGTGAGCAAATTTAAAGACTATTTGCTGTTTATTTTGTTTAACACGATTCTTTTGGCTTAATTGATTAACGTCTTTCTTTTGATTAACTGTGACTTCTAATTTTGATCTAGCAAAATATTTGATGTTTACTTGGAAGTGAGATGAAACCCTCTCTCTTAATTTAGTTGTTGTAAATTGATGGCAGATTGGTTTATTTCCTTGATAAGTCAAATAATTTACGATCAATGACAATCGCTACTTTATCAATGCTTAAAATTTTTACTTTTGATTTTGGTATTTTTGCGATTAAAGATTTTTCTTAACAGATTTTTATGTTTTTAAAGCAAAAGAGGTCTAGAAAATACTAGTTTAAAATACTAATTAAAACACTGATTAAAATGTTTTTTCATTCATGGTTTTTAATTGAATTTCTATTCCTTGGACATGGTACATGAAAAGTTATTTTATAATAAATTGTTTTGAATTATTGGTTTATTACATATGTATGTACATATAGGACAATTCTAAAATATATAAAAGCTAATATATATATGTATAATAATAATGTTTTAAATGTAAATTCTAAAATGTATAAAAAGCAAAGGCAAGTACAGGGGACCAAAAGTTGCAGATTTTATGATGGAATATGTGTATGGAAATGGAAATCGAACAGTGAGGTGGGAAAGAATATTGTTCAGATTGCCAAGTGAAAGCAATCTGCTAGCATAAGGTGTTATTCCCAGGACAGACTTTGAGCAGTACCCATCATTATACGAAAGCAGAACTTAGTGATGTGCATCTTATACATCACCCAGAACGGAGGAGTGGTCCATAAGATGTACAGATATGACAGAGGTATGATTCCTGACAAGATGGTTGCTGAATTGGCAAACACTTGAGTTTATTAATAGGAAGCAAGTGAAACTTGTACTACTGTTTGTGGTCAAACTTTTGAGCACCTACTGTGAAAAGTTATATGATGAAAATGTTTCTTTTGAATTTATATTTTTCTTATTCACCTGTTACCCATACCTTCCTCACACGTCACTATTTATATGTGCCATTTTGGCACAGATGTTTGATTACAAAATCTGTTTATTTTAGCTCCCACTACCTGCTTTTACATTTTTGCCACATATTCGAGAATTATTATGTACAAGAATATTTGAGCAAATGTGATTTAAAAGTTCACAGAAAAATTTTAAGAGTAGGACAGACATGCAAAATGAAGCTTTTTTCACATAAAAGAGCAGCTGCAAACACACGAATGCTATAGCACAGAGAGAATGAAAGATAAAACAATCAATGTAATAATGCAACATGTTTATTACACATTTGTATGTTTACAGTTTGAAAAAAAGTTTATTATATTTGCAACTATGCATGCCTTATAATGGTGCTACTTGAGTGCACAAACATGTTAAAAATGGCAGGATTTTCCGGCGACTCTTGCAATGAGGTCAGGGTTGCAATAAGACTATAGGGGTTTTGATTAGAAGGCTCTTGGAGTATCTACCAAGGAAGAAATTACTGGAATATGATTATGTGATTATAGTATGTTTTTTACCTGAATATCAACCCTTGAGTGAAAATGACTCACACTGCTCAACCCCATTTATGGCAAATAATGCTGTCTAGCACATTTAACACCACATGCTTTTATACCAAAACGCTTGGTTTGCTTTTGTATTCTAATCTATACTTAAACGTCTGTCTACAAATGTTTAGACTACACTGTACATATACGCTGGTGTGCAAAAATTAAGGATGAAGTCAAAAAATAGCATATCAGCTGAACGAAGAGGCAGAGCGGACAGAAAGACCAATCAGGAGATTAAGTAAGGTGATGTACGGGAGCACATGCGCAGATATTTCTGGCAAAGAGATTGCACGCCGTATAGCAGTTAAAATCACACTGAGTTGCTGCCTCAGCAAGAAATGGCGAATAATCAATCTGTTAGATGACATCTGGATGCTTTTTACCCGAGGTCGAATCATTGGGAAGTTGGAGGAAGGCCGCAGTGTGACACGTGTGGCTGCAGAGTTCGGAATTGCTCACAGCATCGTTTCATGACTTTGGAGATAATTTCAAACTACAGGAACAGCTATCCGGGGGTTTAGTAGTGGTCGTCCACGAGGACCACACCTGCAGATGACCGGTATATTGCCTTACATTCCAGAAGAAACAGGCGGCAGACAGCGGGAGAAATCGCTAGACACACGACACAGGTGACTGGACGACCGACATCGCATTTTACCATGGCCAGAAGACTGCACGGCGGTGGTCTGTTTGCCTGACGCCCTGTACGGTGTGTACCTCTAATGCCTGCCCATCGGAGAAGGCGTTTTCTGTGGTGCCGGGAACACCGGAATTGGAGAGACAATGAATGGGGACGAGTACTCTTTACAGATGAGAGCAGATTTAGTCTGAGTAGCGATTCTCATTGCATACTCATCTGGAGAGAGCGGGGAAGCCGCAATCATCCCTCGAACATCATTGAAAGGGACAGGTATGGAGGTGGCGGTGTTCTCGTTTGGGGAGGCATCCTGCTTGGTAGTCGTACAGACCTTCACATCTTAGACGCAGGTTCATTCAACGGGACCCGTTATTGTAATGAGATTCTTCTTTCATATGCGCGTCTCTTTAGAGGCGCTATGGGTCTGCAATTCTTTTTCATGGACGACAATGCACCATGTCATCGCACGGTAGCTGCCGAACAGCTCTTAGAGAGTGAGGATATTGAACGTATGGATTGGCCGGCACGATCTCTGGATCTCAACCCATCGAGCATGTATGGGATTTTCTAGGCAGCTCGTACCTTACCAAAAGTAACGATTCCGGAGCTTCGATTGGTGCTGCAAGACGAATGGGCAGCAATGCCTCAACAACTCATTGACACCCTCATTCTCAGCAAAATAAATTCATTAGAATCAGAACAACTGGACATGATGATTAAAGGAGGAGAATATAGAATTTATATAGCTATGTTTTTCAGTAAAAGTGATAATTATAATCTAGATAGTTAATATAAGCATTTGAACAACTATCATTATGTTGTAAAACTGATATGGGGGAGTGAATCTACACCAATTACATAAACTAAATTTTTTTTTTGCAAAAGTTTATATTTTAAATATGACTGATTATCATAAAGTTTGATTTCTAACAAGTAGTATCTGAAAATGTTTCAGATGACATAAAAACATAATAAATTAGCCTACCTCATAGTGCAACATAAAATTTTTTTCTTTAATGCCCCTAAGAGAGAAAAAATGTATATTAATATACAAAATAAAATCTAATATATTAAAACTAAATTTAAAAAGCCAATAATTACGGTTTAATAATATAGCCATTTTATGACTATAAATAAAACTAATTACGGATATTTTATTAATGTACAAAAAAAGTAATTTCATACCCTGTTAATACAGTTAATGGATCACTTCGCAGAGCTGAATCTAAGGAATCGAATGCAACTGTGCAAAAAACCTATAAATAATTCCACTTCTAAGCTTAGCAATTGAATAAGTTTCATTTCAAATATAATGCACAAATAAAAAGCATAGAATTACTTGAAAACATATATAAAAACATTTTTCAGTCAATGAATTACCTGTGTCTGACCCCTTTGGAAAAGTGATGATCCATGAAGTGGTTTATAAATATCTACAGCACAAGATATATCCCGCAAATCAGTCAATCCACGGCCATCACATCTACAAAATACTATATATTAGTATTTATTGGAATACAAAGAAATATTTAAATGAACATTACTTCATGTTAAATGTATTAAAAATAAAAATGGAATGAAAGCATTACCTTTTATTCGTGTCCAAAATTAAATTTCTAAAAATTGTTTTAATAGTAGAATTTACAACATCGTATATATGAGATGGATCACAATCAGGATGGTTTTCTAAATAATGACAAAAATAAATAAAATAAAAACATGGTTCTAGACAATTTTGGTAGGTTTTGTCACGAAGTTTCACTGCATGTATACATATTCAAACACAGAGAACTATAGATGCAAAATAAATTTATGGCTACATACAAGTAAAAGTATTCATATAATTTATTCCAACAAACAATTACTCAATTGCAAATGTACAATGAAATTCTAAACCATCAACATATTTTTAATAATTAAAGTAACTAATAAAATAGAAAAATTTATTATTTTATATTTATCATATGGTATAAATTAATATTCATACTCAATCATTTGTTGAAATCATGAAAACGCTATTTCTTTTAGTAGAATTCAAAGTATACAATTACACTGCTGGCCACCGTAAATGCAATACCCTGAAGGAAAAGCATGCAAATAACATGAAATTTACAACATGCATTAGCGGAGGTTAGAGATGCAAATGATTAGAATTTCAGTGCAGACGCACATCACGTGTGCCTCTGGCACCACTTCAAAGCGCTATTTAAGGCTTGGAGTTTTTGACGATTTCAAGTTCAGCAATTGTGTTTTTCTTGTCGTTTTTTTCAAAAAAAAAAAAAAAGAAGAGATCAATTATGCCTCGTAGTAAACAGTGATCATCGTTTGATCAAGTATCCGAGTTTGACAGAGGAAGGATAGTGGCCTACCGAGAGTGTGGATTATCTTTCAGGGAAACCGGTAGTTGTGTTGGACGAAACCAAACAACTGTAATGCGGATATGTGACCATTGGATGCAGGAGGGTACGATGGACCGGCGTGTTCGATCACATCCACCTCAGTGCACCACTTCACGTGATCACGTACCATTTGACGCTGTTTACAGCAGAGTGGTCTGTCCGCAAGACGTCCAATGCTTCGTCTACCCTTGACGCAGAACCACAGATGTCTCTGCTGCCAATGGTGTGATGAAAGAAGGATGTGGACAGTAGAATGGAATGAAATTGTCTTTATTGACGAGTCACACTTCTGTCTGCAACACCATGATGGTCGGATTCGAGTCTGGAGACACCGTGGAGAGAGGATGCTAAACAGCTGCTTTATGCACTGCCACACTGGTCCTGCACTGGGTATTATGATATGGGGTGATATTGGATATCACTCTCGCACTGCTCTAATAGGCATTGCTGGTACTTTAAACAGCCAACACGACATTTCCTAAGTGTTGGAGCCAGTTGTTCTTCCTTACCTTCAGGGCTTGCCCACAGCCATATTTCAACAGGATAATGCGGGACCACACGTGGCACGCATTGTCCAAGGTGCTCTTCGTCAATCGCCAGATTGAATTGCTTCCCTGGCCGGCTCGCTCTCCGGATCTTTCGCCGATAGAAAACATGTGGTCCATGGTTGCTGAACGATTGACCCAGATTACATCCCAAGCTGCCACACCAGATCAACTTTGGCAACGTGTGGAAGCTGCTTGGTCTGCTGTACCCCAAGAACACATCCAAAGTCTCTTTGAATCAATGCCGAGGCGTGTGGCAGCGGTGATCTCCAACAATGGCGGCTACATCTGGCTACTGATTCTGGAAGGAACCACACTTCACAGAAGTCTATAAATTTAATCATTTGATACTTGGTCAACATGTTATCTACTAAATAAATTTTGTTGTGATATCTCTCGTCTTTCTTGGTGTCGCAATTTGGGTGGCCAGCAGTGTATATATATATATATATATTCTTTATTCCAAATTATTTTTTAAAATTCAAAACTTACCAAAATATTAAAAATTCATGATTCTGTTCAAACTAGAATTAAATTTTCAAAATGCTTGAAAGCACAGAAACATTATACATTAACAAGCAATGTAAAGCTACATAAAATGGTTTTGTATATTAATAGGAAGATATTTATTCTCTGCACTGAAAGATTAATAAGCCCTACAAAGGGATTCCATCCACAATTCCTGCTCATGATGTCATGATGTTACAGTGGTTGGCATACAATGATTGATTTCCATGCCGCTGAGTCTATATGAGTAGGTTCAAATCCCTGGCAAGATATGGGCATTTGTGACTGCTATGTGCTTTGCTGTGTGGAAGCACTTAAAATCTGTTCATCCAAAAGTCCTCTCAAGAGGCTGGTGGCAGGAAAAGGGAGTATAAAGTCAAAAGATTCCATCTCCTAAGAACACTTGGTGAAAACAGGTTTCATTTTGAGCGCTTTGCCTAAATCATAGAGTCTAGGCCAACAACAGTTTAAAGATAGCATAAATAGCATATAAATGGAATTTAACTCTTTGTACTTTAACCCTTAAAAGAGCCTCAGTATATGAAATATACCGGATGTTTGTCAATTTTTTAATCTCCTAAAAATGCCAATTGTTTTATAATAAAAACTGTAATTGTAAGTTTCTAGTGTTTCCTTTTGATACTAAATGGCAGCACTACCTTATGAATGCTGAATATTTTGCAGTTATAAAATTAATATACCTTGTTTCGAGGTATTATGTTTGAAGATTCATTAATTCTATTGGAGGGGGAGAAAAAATTCAAAATCTGTAAATATACTGAATCTTATATATCACATACTAAATCTTATATATTTACCACATTTCAGTCAGAACTGATAATTAAAAGACAATTATTTATACAATTTTAAAACCGGTATATAAAATATACTGGCACTCATACTGAGGATACCATGCCAATAGATGGCATCACCAGGCCTCTGTCTCTACTCTGTCAGATGACAGAATTTCTTTATACTATAATTGTTTATGATGCAATAATTTGTTTATGATTAATTTACAAGTTGCTTAGGATTCAATATTATGTTCATGGCAGATGAGAGTTTATTGAACCTGTGCTAAGAATGATTAAAAGTAATTTAGTTCCTTTTTATTCTTTACTTATTTCAGTTGAGTTTCTCATTCCTCTCTGTTTAGCTAAAATTTTAATTTCATCACTTTGTTCTTTCCCTGGATAAAGACTCATCAATTTCAAAATTGTCATCTAGTAACCAAAACGTTACAAAATTGTAGGGGTTAAATGTATCATGTTATCCCTGAAACACACCCGTTGCTTCATGTTTTCCAAAATCCTAGAATGCAGAGAAAATGATAAGAGGTCACTGAGAGCTAATCTGTCATACCCCAAAAGGCTGTGATAAGATCACAGAAAAGGAAAGCTCACTTACAAATATGGTAAACAGAAATACACTTCAGGTCCGTTTCTTAGTGGAATGGAAAAACTGCTGATTTGAAAGTATACTTTTATGCTTTAGGGTATTGTCTTTGTTAATTTCAGATGAGAAACTAGAGAATACAAGAGAATTTTTCCCCTGGGGTTAGGATAAAAGTATGTGGTTTTCGAAATAATCTTCATAGCTGATGAAAGGGAAGACAATATTTCTAAGACCAGTTTTAGATGCAAAACATTTATCTTTGGAAAGGGGATAAAAAAGGGCAAATATTTGAGTTTTTTAAAGTTTTGATCGAAATAAGAGCTTTGAAGTGTATCAAATAATAAAATCATTTAGCAGCTTTTTTTCCTGATCAAAATGATATAGCTGTATTACAACATATATTTACAAAAAATGAAAAAGGAGAACTTATGAACCCCGATAATCAAAAGAGTGTGTGTGTGTGGGGGGGGGCATTCTAGCTATCATAGTATGAAGCATGCTCTTTTTATATATTATCTACAGCAAAATGCAACAGAATTTTTCAGCTGAGCCATAGTGTTTCATTTTTTCATTTTTTGTTTGAGTTACATCTCTTTGTGGCATTATACTAGTTCAATTACAGCATGATACAGTTTACACATGCAGTGATATATTTGCTAAATTTCTTTTAAAGGTTTTTACTGATATTTTACAAAAGTATGTTCAGCTGGGTGGCATCATCAAAGTGCATAAAAAATTATTTTAAAACTTTTAAATTTCTAGTGACATTTTAGAAGTTTTTTGACTTCAGACTATTTTCAAGCACTCATCTCTATAAATACAAATCAAAAGTATGCAAAAATAGATAAAAAAAACAAAAACAAAATTTAACAATTGGCAGCTACCTGGATAAAAAATGTCTTAGAGGAGCACCAGTATAAAATATATACTGGCCCTCAAAGTTCAGGATTTCACTTTAGATTTTTTTGTGTTCTTAAGGTCCATAAGTTACAATTTACGCAAACTTTTACCACAATTTAAATTATTTTATATACCACCCCTCAAAGGGTTAAGATGCTTTTCATGAAGTATTACTATTGTCTACATAAAATTTTTTAGCAACAAAGTAAAACATATTCTTTTCTAAGTTTCTTTATTTTCTGCCATATGCCTTCTGTCATCAGGACTGACTAGAAATAAAGATAATTAAATACTGCTAGTTTCTTCTTAGCTTATCCTCTATTACCCTTCTGATGCAGGATTAACATACCCAATTCATTATTAGACAAATTAAGGCAGTTGTCTAGGTATGTCAGGCCATGATGCCATTGGTCTTACTCATAAACACAGAAAACTAGATTACAAAAACTTTTATCTTCAATAATTTGAGTAAAATATCATTAAAATTAAAGAAATACTATTCCAAACATTGTAAATAAACATATTTAAAACAAGAGAATATCAGATAACAAATAAGTAATCTGAAAAACAAAGCCTTGGATTATGGTGACAAACGGTGTCTCGAGTTATGAACATTCAAGTCGATGACAAATGACTTTTAAAGCAGTTTTGAAGTAACCTCTGATAAATAATTAACACATGTGAACTTCCAGAAAAGTCATTTTAATACTTTTCATTGCTTAGTTCTCAACAAGGCCTATTAGCAAGAGACTTTAAGGACCAAGTATTCGGGCCAGGGAAAACTATGCCCATATAGTTATTGTAGAAAACATTTTTGGCACTGAGGACTTTCTTGTTATTATTTATGACATTGTGTCGCCAGGCAAAATCATGGGCCTGGAAACTAACAATGCTGAAGTGGAGGAGTTATTAGAAGACCATAAAAACAAGTTCAAAAAGA